AGTAGTGCTGCCATACCTAGCATCACATTTATTACTCTCTTACATGAGGTGAAATATCACAGGGTTGTCATGGTAACGATATTTTGGCATACTATTTATTGTCTTATTCTTTTATCTGCGATTAGAATTTCAATCAGTTTTGACATGTTAAGAGAAAAGAGGATGTAAAACCAATATTAATGTGATCGAACCTTCGTAAAAGCGCGTTTCAAGCCACCTACATAAAAAAAACCTTCATGATAACCCAGCAGGCACATCAACGTTGTTTCAACGTTGAGAATAGGTTGATCCTCAACGTTGAAAATAGATTGAAAATAGGTTGTATATGAAAGTTTTTTTGACGTAGATATCCGACGTGGAATCAACGTTGAAGTTTGACCGATTATCAACGTTGAAAAAAGGTTGATCCTCAACGTTGAAAATAGATTGAAAATAGGTTGTATATGAAAGTTTTTTTGACGTAGATATCCGACGTGGAATCAACGTTGAAGTTTGACCGATTATCAACGTTGAGAATAGGTTGATCCTCAACGTTGAAAATAGATTGAAAATAGGTTGTATATGAAAGTTTTTTTGACGTAGATATCCGACGTGGAATCAACGTTGATGTTTGACCGATTATCAACGTTGAGAAAAGGTTGATCCTCAACGTTGAAAATAGATTGAAAATAGGTTGTATATGAAAGTTTTTGACGTAGATATCCGACGTGGAATCAACGTTGAAGTTTGACCGATTATCAACGTTGAAAAAAGGTTGATCCTCAACGTTGAAAATAGATTGAAAATAGGTTGTATATGAAAGTTTTTTTGACGTAGATATCCGACGTGGAATCAACGTTGAAGTTTGACCGATTATCAACGTTGAGAATAGGTTGATCCTCAACGTTGAAAATAGATTGAAAATAGGTTGTATATGAAAGTTTTTTTGACGTAGATATCCGACGTGGAATCAACGTTGAAGTTTGACCGATTATCAACGTTGAGAATAGGTTGATCCTCAACGTTGAAAATAGATTGAAAATAGGTTGTATATGAAAGTTTTTTTGACGTAGATATCCGACGTGGAATCAACGTTGAAGTTTGACCGATTATCAACGTTGAGAATAGGTTGATCCTCAACGTTGAAAATAGATTGAAAATAGGTTGTATATGAAAGTTTTTTTGACGTACATATCCGACGTGGAATCAATGTTGATGTTTGACCGATTATCAACGTTGAAAAAAGGTTGATCCTCAACGTTGAAAATAGATTGAAAATAGGTTGTATATGAAAGTTTTTTTGACGTAGATATCCGACGTGGAATCAACGTTGAAGTTTGACCGATTGTCAACGTTGAGAATAGGTTGGTCCTCAACGTTGAAAATAGATTGAAAATAGGTTGTATATGAAAGGTTTTTTTACGTAGATATCCGACGTGGAATCAACGTTGAAGTTTGACCGATTATCAACGATTGGAATCAACGTTGAAGTTTGACGATTATCAACGTTGAGAATAGGTTGATCCTCAACGTTGAAAATAGATTGAAAATAGGTTGTATATGAAAGTTTTTTGTACGTAGATATCCGACGTGGAATCAATGTTGATGTTTGACCGATTATCAACGTTGAAAAAAGGTTGATCCTCAACGTTGAAAATAGATTGAAAATAGGTTGTATATGAAAGTTTTTTTGACGTAGATATCCGACGTGGAATCAATGTTGATGTTTGACCGATTATCAACGTTGAAAAAAGGTTGATCCTCAACGTTGAAAATAGATTGAAAATAGGTTGTATATGAAAGGTTTTTTTACGTAGATATCCGACGTAGAATTAATGTTGAAGTTTGACCGATTATCGGAGGTATTACGCTTTCCTGTAAATAGACTCGCATTTCATCTTTAAACTACAATAAAGTAGCACCAAACTCCTGCATCCAGCTAAAATACCCAAAAAGCTACCTGCAATAAACAGTGTTCAAACAGAAAATTGCAGTAAAAATATTTACCTGATAAAATACTTGGTTAAAATTCCACATTCAATATAATGTTCATTTAAGTTTTATGTCAGTTGGACGTATAATTCATGTAAGGAGAAAAGAGTATTCCAAATTAAGAAAAACTATTTACTGTTGTATTGTTACCTTGAAAAGGTGAAAATTGTCCCGAGAAGACATTTTGTCTGAATTTCAGCTCTTAGACAGACCCCTGAATAAACACAATGCAATTACTTTCACCATGAAAGGGATCCAAGATGACCAGGAACTATACCTGAAGACAGCACATAAAACAAGTCACTTTTCATGAAATCTTTATGAACACACACGCACACAGAAAACGTGGTTTAATGCATAATGTAAAACATCACACATGACATAGTCTGTAGGTGATCTCAGTTGTGATAATAACACAATATCATCTGCATATAGCATCAAAGTGACATTTACGCCACCAATTTCAATACCACAGTTCAGATTTTTCAACACAATTACAACTCCAAAAAACACAATTATCAGCTCCTCTTCTTTCTGCCACTCCCCTGCCTGGCGGTCAGGTGGATACGTCAGAAACGTTCCTAACTCTTTCTTGAAATTTGCTTCGGATGCATTCCCATCTCATTCCCTTGAGATAGGACACATTCTGAAATTTTACATTTAAATACATGAATAAGTTATATGGAAGATATATTGTCTTCAATGATTCAAGTATTTGTTTAATCAATCACTTGAAAGGTTCATTTCACTGCTGTAACTTGGCATGTGAACATATGAACAGCATCAATACAAAATATGACGAAAAGTGTAAACAATTTATATTTTCAACCGAAGGAATGGAAGTTTTCTTAAACATTTTCAAAGAAAATCCTCAATTGCAAGTTGATTATTTAATTAGACTATGAATTACCGGTAGGATGAATTAGACGATGCTTTACTGTCATATATTATTTGCTATGGTCATGATGAAAATGCTGCACTTGGTAATTAACTTACCAGAGATGATTGAATACAACCTTGTATTCTTAAAAGAAAACTTGCCGTTTTGCCCATCAACATTCATTCTTGACATCAAATTGTTTAAAATTGTCCTGCAAAACAATGAACACGTCACAATTTAATTCTGGACTCATAAAAGTCCAGAAACTCTCCGCCCTGTGGCCACTTTCTGACAAAGGATCTGACAAAATTAAATATGCAGTTGTCATGAATATATGCTAAGGATGAAAAAATGAAATTTTTTTTTTCAAAAACTCAAAATTTAAACTACCTCGCCCATGGGCGAGAATGTTTAATTTCGCTCAGACTTCATGTTTTGGAGGTTGAAAATGAATGAAAGCATGTTTAGAAGTATCACCACACAAAAATTAACTCATTGCAACTTAATTCGGCTAATTTAGACCGATATTTAAATATCTTGCCCATGGGCGAAAGAAAGTTTGGCCCATGGGCGAGATTTTCTATGTTTGCTCAAAATCATTTTTTTTCAAGTTTGAAGGTTGTAAATGAATGAAATTATGTGTAGAAGTATCACCACACAAAATTTAACTCATTGTGACTTAATTCGGCTAATTTAGACCGATATTAAAATATCCAGCCCATGGGCGAAAGAAAGTTTGGCCCATGGGCGAGATTTTCTCTGTTTGCTCAAAATCATGGGTTTTTCAAGTTTGAAGGTTGTAAATGAATGAAAGCATGTTTATAAGTATCACCACACAAAAATTAACTCATTGTGACTTAATTCGGCTAATTTAGACCGATATTAAAATATCTCGTCCATGGGCGAAAGAAAGTTTGGCCCATGGGCGAGATTTTCTATGTTTGCTCAAAATCATGGGTTTTTTCAAGTTTGAAGGTTGTAAATGAATGAAAGCATGTTTAGAAGTATCACCACACAAAATTTAACTCATTGTGACTTAATTCGGCTAATTTAGACCGATATTAAAATATCTTGCCCATGGGCGAGAAAACATTTGGCCCATGGGCGAGATTTTCTACTTTTGCTCAAAATCATGTTTTTTTCAAGTTTGAAGGTTGTAAATGAATGAAAGCATGTTTATAAGTATCACCACACAAAATTTAACTCATTGTGACTTAATTCGACTAATTTAGAACGATATTAAAATATCTCGCCCATGGGCGAAAGAAAGTTTGGCCCATGGGCGAGATTTTCTATGTTTGCTCAAAATCATGGGTTTTTTCAAGTTTGAAGGTTGTAAATGAATGAAAGCATGTTTAGAAGTATCACCACACCAACTCATTGTGACTTAATTCGACTAATTTAGACCGATATTAAAATATCTTGCCCATGGGCGAGAAAACATTTGGCCCATGGGCGAGAGTTTCTACTTTTGCTCAAAATCATGCTTTTTTCAAGTTTAGAGGTTGTAAATGAATGAAAGCACGTGTATGAGTATAATGACACAATTTTCAACTCATTGTGACTTAAGTCGGCTAATTTAGAGCGAGATTTTCTATTTTTGCTCAAAATCATGGTTGTTTTCAAGTTTAAAGGTTGTAAATGAGTATCATGACACATATTTTAGCTCATTGTTGCTTACTTCGGCTAATTTAGGGCGATAGAGAAAACATTTCGCCCAGCCAGAAGAAATGTTAGCATATTCTGCATGTAACTATTCGTTATGCACCCACATGCACCCACAAACGCTCTCACGCACGCAAATAATAGTCCTCACTTCATTAAAACAATCATATCCAAAGATAGAAACTATCAGTTTGTGGTGTTACAGTGACATGCGGTCAGCACCATTATCCACCAACATCCATCTCACTATGTAATTTTGCATATAGCGAAGTTTCTTTTGCTTTAAGATGCATCCACTAGGCTAAGCAAATAGCGTCAAGTAAAAAACGTTTTTGAGGGTTAAAATGATTTATTCATGAATGTATATACTTGCAAATACAAAATGTGTTTATGGGCATTTGGCATACTGGAATTTGTGATGCACACACACACACACACACACACACACATTCATACATACATACATATATATTATAATTCACGTTTTTAAGGGAACCCCTACGTGTATATCAAGGTAAAAATGTTCATATTTGACACATGATAAAAAGGTTCCAAATAGAAAATGACATAAAATGCAGAATAGATATCTATGTTTCAATACATATAGACCATATACTGTATACACTGCGGTCCCACATTAGTTTCTTTTTTCTACATATCTTTGGTGAATTTTCTTTTCCAGTCCAACTTCATAACGAAGAAACACCTTGTCTGAAACAATATGACAGAGCTTGTTTGAGTGGCATTTAGAAGTTGGTGTGATGATCAACGAGGAGAGTTATGGATATGCAACTTCTTTTATGAGCGACGTTTCGGTGTAGCTACTAACACCGTTATCAAGCAAATGATGTCACATCCTCGTTGTTCAATATAACAGAGTAAAAGAATAACCAATGGAAGAGATGTACGTTACTGGATTATGTACGATGCACAATATTATTTACAATGTCGACAAATCTAACAGTAGAAAGATATGTTAATACATTAAGTAAACCTAATGATATAATAGACGTACCCCCATCAACGGCTACAACTGTTGCTGGATACATTGTCCTATACGTTACGTTGTAACGGGCGCTGACCATGTCCCCTTCTGCAAACTGAAGCGCAGATTTGTGAATTATCTTTTTCTGTGGCTAGCAATACGAGTGGGACAAAAATCTGTCTAATGGGAAAAGGAAATTTTTAATACAAGTGCTTTTTTCAACAAGCGTATGCCATCAAATTGAACATAATCTATTTTGTTTACTTACAGCTTTTCATCAACTGCATAACTACATAACATAACTATATATAAACATCACTTCTCTTGGTGAAAAATCTCAATTCACTGCAACTGTGTTAAAACTGCATCTAAAAGACTAGAAGTCTTGTCGGGTCAGTCATGGCTGGTACTACATGTCATATTTGAGAATCATCTTGAAAAATATATTCCTTGAGATCATACTAACCTTTGGCTTGATGGGTCTGATGAGGCTCGTCTCTATCCACGAATCATAGTGTTTTGAATAGTTCATCCAATGGACATTCACACGAGAATTTCCTTCCTGTATAATTTTTACCTTGAACCTGATAATATAATGCAACATAATGAGAAGACATCGAACAGAAGCCCATGTCACGTGTACTGGTATTACTCAGTATCTTACATATCGTCTCAGCAATTATTTTTTAAATGCACCGACCAGAAGAAGCCATGCGTAAATTATAGGGTAACTGTGGGTTCGGAATTGCCTGCACTGTCTTTCATCAATGCTGTAAACTAGCAGCATCAGATTCCGCTGACAGCAGATATATAGCTGGGAGATTCTTACCACATTCCCGTGTCTTCATCTTTGCCCTCCATCAATTTTCCAGTCGTCTGAAACATAATCAAATACAAATAATGAGCGCAGGTAGAGTTTATATTCATATGGCATTCCTCTGATGATAATGCCTTTTGGATTACTGTTTACGCCGTTTGATAATTAAAACGCTCTGCATGATGTTGTGTGTTTAAGCCGAGTATGCACCCATTACAAAGTTGGCTTGTTCATTACAATATCATCCACTAATAGTGAAAATGTCATAGCACCAGATTTAAAATTAAGCAATCTGTCTCACACATTACATAATTATAATTTATGATACAGATCAATCGCTCTTTAGTAGCTCACAATGAGCGGGCATGATGTTGTGAGAGTGACAACATGTACAGAGAAGCAAAGACTCACAGCATTTGTTTCTTCCTTCCTTCGGTGTTGTTTGATAAAGCGTTGAACCTAAACGCAACGAAAATTACACAATGCTATTTAGAAATGAAATACACAATGCCATTTTCAGAAAGTGGTCAAATGTAACATGTTATATTTGGGATTACTCGAACCCACACCCTCATAGTCAGGCACCTAATCGCCAGCACACCGCTTAGTCAGACGCCTAGACCGCTCAGCCACTGCGGCGTCCACAAAAAATGGAAGTCGGACAGCTGGTAGTCTAGACTGCGGACTTTGTGTACCCCTCTGATAAGTGTCAATTGGCACGGCTTTGTGTGCTAGCGATTAGGTGCCTGACCCTGAGGGTGTCGGTTCGAATCCTGGATGGGACTCAACCCAAAAAAGTACTAGAATCTGTACTTTACTAAGAAAATGTAATCCCAAAGATAACATATGTACCATTTAGAAAGTCAAATTAACCTTGAGGAACCAGGATCTGTAGTTATCCAAATGATTTCATCTTAAGAATGAATTAAATAATTTTCTTTCTGAAAATACTCAACATTAGATCAGCTATTCTTTATTGGTTGATGGCTTGCTATAGCTTATGACCCCTGTTTTATCCGAGGATACTGTATAATGAGTGTCATAATACCTGCTCGCGCTGTTGTGTCCCCGTTGCCTGTAACGAAATGAATGGAAATAGTTTTATTCAGAAAATATTCAGAAGTCATTAGCTATGGAATATAGGTGGGTACTCATTTGTGTGGAATACAAGACTCACATACCGTATTCTCGTCCCCGCTTGCTTCATGTCGGAGTTCTGCTTCCAAATCAGTCTCCTGTAAGTACAGATGACTTTCGTTACTCATCGAAGAACCTATGGCACAAGGTTTAGTACTTTAAGTATATGTTATCTTTACAATAACCTTAAACTTCCAAATGCCAATCAAACGTTGAAAAATGCCAATATCTTTGCCATGACAACTCCTTTCGTGATCATTAACATATGTAGCAGGTTACACAATGGCGGTACGCGACTATACACGGAAGTCGCTATACATACCACGGGAAATAAATCTTCGGATTGAAACTCGTAAATCTGCAGATAAAAATATTCATGTAAATAATCTTCACATCAAGAAATGTTAAAACATCTTCGTATACCATGCCACTCTTATTTGTATGTGAACTGTATGGTAGTAATAACGTGAAATCTTTGTTGCGTCTTTGAGAAGCCCTTCATTAAAAGTAACCAGTGTCGAGTATGAGTACGAACTTGACGTCAACTAGAATGGTGTACCCGGTAATCAGAAATTTGTTACATTTGACCAGGCACTTTGTAAGTATGTGTTATCTATCATTACAGGAGTGTAATGTTCTATAATGAGATGACTGTGCAGTCTGATAATCTGTGCAGATGTGCATAGTACTCACGTTACTTGTTTCTATTTGTGGCAGGTCAATGCCATGAGAAGCACCAGCCTGAAATAATATTTGACATTGCATATCAAAACAGCATGAAGAACATGTCGAGTATGGCGATAAGAACATTAGTTTCGGAGAATAATATTCTGCCTACCTTCAGTATCTGGATTTCTGTTTCCAAGGACGCAATCCTTTTCTCTTGCCTTTTCAGTTCTTGTTTTAACTTTTCATTCTCCCCTTTTCAAGGTCAATCCGTCTTGTGTCTGTAATGAAAAATCCTTTCGGTCATCAAGTTGTGTGTGTGTGTTTGTGCGTGTTCGTGTGCGTCTCTGTCTGTCTGCCCAGTGGATCTATATATAATACCTGGTGTGAAGGCAACATAATGTATCATGTCATCTTGTAATCCCAAATCCATAATATATGTGGAGCATATATTTCCTCAGCTAAACTTCAGTAATTTAAAACTAATTCATACCTTTCCCTTTTTCATTATTTTTAAAGTCCGGTTAAAGTTCTCTTTTCCGGTCCTTCCATCCCTGAAGTCAATCAATTTCTGTTACAAGGCTTCCTCGTCCCGTGTTCCAGGTATTTCTTTAAACAACGCCCTGTTGACGGCCTTTGCTGTCTGTTTCGGGAGTTGATTATGTTGATACTGTGTCATGATGTTTACCGCGGCATCATAACACCTCTGAGACATCACCAAAACTGCCAGGTGTTCCTTGTAGGCACCCCCAAAGTATGTCTAAAATAGAATAAAACTCTGTATCTCATCTGAATGAGCATGTTCGATACGTACGCTCTGATAACTTGTTATTACTATCAATATTTTCAAAAAGGGAAATAAGAAGCCGTCCATTCCCGCAACTAGCTGACATATTAATCAATATATTGATATACTACTGACTGATCCTCTTGACATGTACATACCTTCTCCGATTCCAGGCCCACGGCTGCCATGCATTTCGCTCTCCATTCTTTATGTTTGGAGTCAAGTACTGCTGTAGTGTCAAATTGGGGGTTAGCTGGGTGGAGTCTCCAAAATGTCTACAATTATAAAGTTTGTAAAGTGGTCAGTATTCGGATTTGGATTTCCCATTTGTGTTTGTGGGAATAGATGTAAGCACTGAGTTGACAGTGTCATACGATCACAAAAAAGTGTGTTGGAGTGGTCTAAGTACCTCCACAACGGCTTGGAAGTCGCTGGTGTCCAACCCCTCGCCATGGATGTCAGGTGATTCCTCCAAACCTACTGGTTCAACAGAAACTGCCGTGCTCGTCGCGGATTGTTCTGTTTATTAAACAAGTTGTATTATAATACATGCCACGCTAAACAATTACACAATTTTACAAAAGTTAACATGCAATGTCACCTGCTTTGACTGTGTAACTACTCACAATAAGCCAAATTAATGTATACTAACATTGAAACCATACTGATTTAGCGGATTAATGGAGGCCATCTGGATCCACCGCGCAAAACCTGAAATTAACAGGGATTAGGGTGTTTTCCTACCGAATACGTGGTGCATAGAATGATAAGCTTTCAATATACATGTTTCCCCATGTTCACTGTACATGCTTTTATGTGTTTTTTCATGTATGTGCTATGTATATCCAATCCTTTTCATTGTATAAACTTTATGTACATTCATTGTATAAACATATCACTCTTTTAAGTCTGTCCATCTCAATCAAAACACATTACTTAATCTCCTCGATCTCTGAGCATATCAATTTGTAATACAATCTCACTGGCTTCCTGTACATACTATACTGGACAAAATAAGTTAGGGATATTTGTGAATGTGAATTTTTTAACCATATGTAAATGAATATATAGATCATTATTCATAATTTCAAAATTTACATATATATCCCTCACTATTTTTGCCCAGTATATATATTTTTCTCGTAATCATATTCTGTCATTCAACTGATGAAGGGGCAAGAAGCAGCCCAGAAACATCGTGTTGTAAATATAAAAGAAGATGTAAATCAATACCTACTAAATGCCCATCAAGCATCTCATACTGATTTGCTTAAGTTTGTTCGTCTTACCTTTGTAGAAACTGATATTCCCGTTAATCATTAAAAAACTTCAAAGTCCGAGCGAATTTTGCCGCGTCAGTAGCCACGATTAACTCATCTAGGAAGCTGTCATTTCCCATGTACTTCGTCACCAAGTAGTTCAGTTTCTTCACATTACCCTTGATGCACCTGTCTAGCTGAAATTTGCAATGGTAAACACATAACACTCAAGGGAAATTAAAGGTTTTATAACCGATTAACGCCCTTATCGAATATTATCCAATATTTTCCTCTAGTTATGTGCATTTTAGAGCTTACGTAGACACGGATTGCATGGCGTACATTTTGTTTAGCATCAAGAATTTCCATTGATGAACATATCTCGAATAAATACGATCAAATACAAGCCTAGTTTCTGATAGAAATTAACTTACTTCAACTGTAACTTTTTTAGGGGCACGCAACGGATACAACACCAGAACCTGACATTCCTCTTTTCCACCGAACAATCCAAATGTGAGAACTCTGTGCACCGAAGATCCAAGCTGCCACTGCATCGCCATTCCTTCCAATTTTCGTCAACTGTCGGTCAATGATAAGTGACGGGAACGTCGCCAAGTGTCGTATATATTAATGAGACGTTTTAATAGTTGTAAAAGCATATACGAGACGTTTCAAAGGAAGTTGTTACTTACAAGCCCACTCTTATACCCCTCATCATCGCTGTCAGGGAAATGCTGGTCAATCCATTGTATTCATGTACGTCTTGTATATTGAATTGAGTCAGACCCTAATTTGATAACAGAGTATTGCTAAACACACACTTAACCGAAATGAGGATATGGGTCTCCCAATCGGCTGTTTCCTGCTTTAAACATTTAGAAACGTTTATTCAATGTATGCAAAGTAAGTTGCTTTAAATCGGTTTATCTTGATTTGTATTAAAAATACATAGGTAAGTAGGTTCAAAGTTGTGCTCAAAACGGTTTCTATCATTTCATATATACACCATGTACAAATCTTGTATTCATCCTTCTTTTCATTACTGCTCTCATATTTGGATTTGGGACAACTGCACAGATCAGCAAGCTCTTACTTTAGAAAAACTACATTTAGATGTCCTTAGAAGAATAGCTGGTGCTGTCCGTAGAACAAGATATGAAATAATATATCGCGAAACTTCGTTGATTGAAAGGCGAAAATACTATAAATTGCTAACACTTTATAAAATGTATCATCGTTTATTACCGGACTATCTGTGGAATCTATTACCCCAATTAGTCGGGGATAATAGTTGTTATCCCTTACGTGATTGAACTAATTTAAAAAGCATATTCCAACAATAAGATATGCCAAATCATTCATTCCAGACACAATCAAACTCTGGAATTCACTGCCTCTCGAGGCTAGACATTTCACGCCCTTTTCAAAGAACAAAATAAATGTAATATATACTTTGATGTATATTACGGAGGTAGAAATTGACAACTGAACTAAATATAGTAAAATCAGAAAAAAAAATGCCTTCTTTTACATCTACGGATAGGATCTAGAAATGTCTAGACTTCTTTTAAGCAAAAGTGTTGAAATGGATATATTAAATGTAAATGCTAGAACTCTTGTGTGCCTGTATGTTCACTTGTTTTCATTGCAGCACTTATCATCATATTGTTAATTGCATCTTTCCTTCATTTATTTATGAACACATGCTTCATTAATCTATTTACACATGAGTTGTCAATCATTTTTGCTTATTTGTAACCTTATGGAACAAGTTTTTATGGATCACGAGTTTGAAATTGTTAATAAGCACAAAATGCTTGTTTACCAACACAGGTTGCCGAAAATAAACAATAACCATATACATCATGCAACGTCATTACTGTTTCAAATGTGCCTTATGTTAAATGATCTCTGCACAGATAACTATTTATTGCAGATAAATGTGATAAATACTTGTTCAAGTTAGTGCTGTTATCATCCACAACATGTTAATATAGTTTGCCACTATCTCGTTTACAATCGTACATTTCTGTGTACCATCTCAGTTTGTTGAGTATTTTAGTGCAAACATGAGGCCACGGCGTGGAACGGTCCAGTTACGTAATTTCAGGAAAGCTCGAGCGCCAGCAAAGAAATCGGTCTGTCCCATGTTTGGTCTTGTGTATTGGAGTAAACGAGCCGACGTTTTTAAGTGTATTTTGCTTCATTCCATTGATCACGCTGGGCAATTAAGTGACACTAGCTGTGGCATATACAGGTGCAGGTGCAGGTATTTAGGCGAAAGATTCATGTCTGCGCATTATGTGCTCAATATCTCACAATCATTTGTAATGTCCAGTTGATTGTTTTATTACATGAGATGTCGAACTGACCAATGGGAATTCTGTTTGGGGAAATCACTTTATCGTGACTTAATGTCTTCCGATTATATATTGTTATGGGATGGAGAAGGCATCAGAGCGCACGTTAAATCTCCAAATCATCATCATCAAGGGACCAGAAATGGATGTTCAACAACTTGATGAAGAAGTAGCATATATATGATATCCAGTGATTCCTTCTGACAATCTTCATCACTGTTTTGCTAAAAGAAAAACTGTTTCTTCGGATTTGCGAATTTCACACATGTTCACTTATGTTCTAGTTCCCTATTTCCTTTATGGAAGAAATCACATTTGAAGCCATGACAGATGCAGTTATCGGGCGCCCCTCAAATCAAGAAGCCAGAACTCACAAGGACTTGAACTGCGTTGGTAAGTGACTGTATAGATACGTTTATACCCACAAACGAGCAATTGCCCTTTACGTTATTGTTACAATATTCGAATTTATTTATCGCTTGCATTATAGATATTACTCAATACGTTTTTGCGATATTGCGGCTGGAGAAAACCCTTGAATAATGCTATTAAATAGAACGTACAGCTCGTCCTCACTTCACGCGACTAGTGTCACAAATGGTTACAGGCCGGGAGACCCACATTTCCGAAACAGATAGCCAAAATTGATGTGGCTCTCCCGGCAATAGTTGTGGTTGCGTGAACATGGAATGTGGCTCTCCTTGTACTTGTTTTCACTAATTCAAATCAGCAGAACATGTTTTAAAAGACTGAAATCATAGGAATGATTCTTTTACAATTTTACAGTCTAAAACAGTTGTTTCTTGTTTTAATAATTGAAAAATTGTGACTTTAAATGGTTTATCTCTGTCTTTCTTTTGGACATCTAAATCACTGTTGTTGGTTTATTTCGTCATGGTGGAAATTAGGACAATTTAACTCTTCTGAAAAAGATGCAGTATGAATTCGTTTGAGAATTTGGTTCGTGATTTGTTGTTTAGCTGACAAGTTGGTAAGCTTTCTTGTAAACTAATACCTTCTAACATATTTTTGATAGTAATTCATAGATGGTAGGAGGGTAACGTTTCTTTTGTGTGGGAACAGTCTATTACCGGTTACGGTAATCCAAGTAATTAATCTATTGCATGTTATTGACATGTGGGCATTCCTGGCAAGAGTCATTTTTGAAATGTGACATTCCCGGCCTGACAATTATTAACGGGTTAAAAGGTCCACAGGCCTACTTATATCCATTTTGATAAATCCATAAGTATGATTTGTAGCTGAAGCGAGTATCCATGGCCACTTACTTTGTATACTTTTGTTTTGTTATGTAGTAAGTTAAGCTATTGTATTAACTAATTGTTTGATCGGCATTCTAGATGTTGGTGAGACATCAAATGAAACACACAATTTCTATGCCGTTGGGCGACGTTTCGATGTTGATTCTTACATCGTTATCAGGCTAAAAGTGATGACGATGTAAGAATCTTCATCGAAACGTCGCTCGACGGAATAAACAAGAAGTTGTCATCCATAAAGTTGAATGTTTCATTTATTGTTTTAACCAAATATAATAAACAAATTCGAGTTTCACTGACCACTCAGTAGCGAGATTAGGACTGAATTTCGTTATTTTTACAGCTGTACAAGATTTAGATGACATTTGCTTTGACTATACCCTCTTCTCAGAAGATTTATTCGACCATCAAGACTTTGAAGAGTTGCTTTGCACAGAATGGAAGTACTGATTTTATTGCTATGCTGAGTTATTGGACACCTGTCAAATCATCTGCGCAAAGTTATATAATTTTCAAAATCCAAAGGAACTATGCTAATTTACGGTATATTCAGGAATCAAAGTCTTATTTGCTGGAAATGTATTTCCATACAGAAAAATACACATTTTCTGAAATATAGTATTTTCTGTTTGTCGTAACATTATATAC